CTGGGTGTAAGTACAACCAATTACAGTAAGGTCGTCACAGTGACCTTCCCTGGGTGTAAGTACAACCAATTAGAGTAAGGTCGTCACAGTGACCTTCCCTGGGTGTAAGTACAACCAATTATAGTCAGGGAGTCACAGTAACCTTCCCTGGGTGTAAGTACAACCAATTAGAGTAAGGGAGTCACAGTAACCTTACCTGGGTGTAAGTACAACCAATTAGAGTCAGGAAGTCACAGTTACCTTCACTGGGTGTAAGTACAACCAATTACAGTAAGGTCGTCACAGTAACCTTACCCGGGTGTAAGTACAACCACTTAGAGTAAGGTTATCACTGTAACCTTTACTGCATGTGTGTATTATAATTATTTCACTTACAATTGTGTTGACTTAACCAATCGGATCGAGGGTGTCACACACGCCTTCAGATGATGTTACTGATACCTTCAGTAAGAGTGTGACTTGAGCTGTCTATATCCTGTCGACTAGACAGCAGGTGGTCTTAGCTGGCAGGAAGTGCCTGAGAGTTCTGCAATAATGCAGTATCCTTTGACCATTCACTCTCCATCCTTTAACTTTCCTTTACACGATTCGACTATAGAACTGTTAGGCCTACAGTGATATATTTTTTAGCATATAGCCAGTAGGGATGTCGCAAGTGTTCTGATTATAATAACCTTGACCCATATTACGTTAAAGAGGTGAGATATGTTAACAAGTTAAACTCTACAAAACCAAGATAATGTAAAGAGTTTCAATATAGGGTTCGATGGGATGGAAGACTTTCAAGTTTGTTCAAATAAATGACCTTTACCAACTTCCAATGTTACAGGATTAATATCTTAAAGAAAAATGTCAATTTGTTGGAGGCTTTTAATACAAACAGTTGTTGATTTAAAATGAAATCAATGTCTTTTCCTTATTCTATGTTATGTTTTATTTATAGCTCTGCCCGTCGTCAATATACAGCAAGCTACCTACACTGTGAACACTGGCGCCTCAGTTACACTTGTATGTACCGTGACGGCCACTCCACAAGCTACTTCTGTCACCTGGCGCAGAACCATTGGTGGTGTCCCCACTGTAATCGGCATCAATGGTGGGAAGTACAATGGTGGATCCGTCAACACCCCTTCTCTTTTCATTTCTAGTACCAGTAGCAGTGACATCGGCTCCTACACCTGTCAAGCCACCAACGCAGTCGGCACGGGAACCAGCTCCGATACATACCTAGATGTTGTTGGATGTGAGTAACCATTGAAAAACAGAATCGAAAGCGTCCTTTTATTGACAAAAATGTTCTGAAATAAACATGATATTTAATTAATAGAACAAATGCTACAGTAAAACCTAGTTATAACGTGGCGAAAGAAACCTCAATGGTATCGATATATCGAGGTTTTACTGCATTATAATTAGGGACTTTTATTAAACATTTATCGTTGCATGAAAACCAGAAAATACAGATGTCATAAGGTCATTTCTAAGAGTTACATCACAATAAGTACAAAAAAGCTTGATGGTATACATGACATTTTCAGCCCTCCTGGCTGTCCAAGTGGCCCAGTCCTTTTATACGGTACCGAGGGGACAGTCTGTTACCCTGGTGTGCACCGTGTCGGGAACGCCTTCAGCCACCTCCGTTACATGGAGGCGCACTTCAGGCGGTTTTACCAACAATGTTAATATTGACAACAACAAATATCAGGGATCTAGTATCAACAGTCCATCCCTTGTCATCAACAACGCGGACAGTGTCGACACCGGTACATACGTGTGTACAGCCACCAACAGTGTCGGAACAGCCACGAGCTCACAGACAACGCTGTCCGTCACCGGAGGTCAGTATCAAACATCTAGTCACAGAATGTCCGTGTATACAGGTTTGTTGTCATAGAAGGTCAATATATACAGGTTTACTATTACAGGACGTCGGTGAGTACAGGTTTATTGTCACAGTTCAGTTGATACAGCTGTATTTTGACCATAGAAAGGTCATTTTATTATTCATCCTGACTTACTTTTGCCCTACGCCAGTGTTGACTTTTGTCATGATAAAGTTGCCCTCATTACAGAAGGTGTAAAAGACCAAAGTTAGCCTGCACCAAAATCTTCCCAGTGTACACAGTATATACAAATGTCTTAGCTAACACAAGCAAGATTCTACACTGTTCAAAATGATGCTTCTATTGGTGGCTGAACTAAAGAAAAATGAAAACAAAAAGACAATACCAAAACGATGAAAATAAAAACAGTCAATTGTGAACAAATATTTACTTTTGAACTTAAAAAATAATGGGATATGCAACTGAAACATGTGCCTGTATTTTTTTACTCAGAGATCCCGACCGTCACCATTCCTTCCCCATCCTACAGCATTGTGACTGGGTCATCCATCACCATCACCTGTACAGTCACAGCAAATCCTCAGCATACCTCTGTGTCCTGGACTAGGACAGACAACGTCAATAGCAACGCTGTGTCCATCGTCATCGACGGCACCACCTATAGCGGTGGCTCTGTCAACAACCCATCTCTCACCATCAACAGTGCCAGTTCCGCAAACCAGGGTTACTATGTCTGTCGGGCTACTAACAGCATCGGCACCGGAACCAGTGGCCAGTCATACCTCACCGTAACAGGAGGTACGTTAGGACCCCATTGTACCAGGGAGCTTGTAATTGTTAGTCCCCCACCACTGCAAAAACTAGATCACCATAACCTGTGGTTTGACCTTTGACTTTAACCTTGAAAATGTTGTGTCTTGGATATATCTTCTATACTGTTTCACATGGAGTAACCAGATTTGGTATGCATGCATGTCTTGCCTGGCAGAGGACATCAATTATTTTGTGGTGACCTATATACTGAGATAAGTGTATACAGCTCGGTATATAAAGAAAGTATTACCTGTGGGGGTCTATGGATGCCTTGCAATACTAAGCCTTGTTTCATATTCAAATTGAAGCAAAACCTTGACATTTTGCATTTATGCCTCAGTTGATATATAGTTTAACAGATGCAAAATATAAATATTTTCAAATGATATAAATTTGTACTCTGCACAAATGTATATTTGTGCCTTTGAAACCAATAACTGGGAAGTTGTCTCAGTATACCTTACTGGTATTATATTTTACAGCCTTGCCATCTGTGACCATCCCGTCCAATGCTTACTCAGTCATCACTGGGAGCACCATCCAGATTCCCTGTGCTGTAGTGGCCAGTCCTTTTGCCAACACTGTGACCTGGACCAAATCTGCTGGCACTAACTCTGCTATTAGCATAATCAGTATTGACGGCTCAAAGTACCAGGGAGGTGCCCCGAACCTTCCCAGCCTCACTATCACCAACGCCAACACCAACGACCAGGCCTACTACAGATGTTCTGCTGCCAACAGTGTTGGCTCAGCTGAGAGTATTCTCACCTACCTAACTGTCTCCGGAAGTAAGTCACAACTGTATCTACCTTACCTACCTAACTGTCTCCGATAGTAAGTCACAACTGTATCTACATTACCTACCTAACTGTCTCCCGAAGTAAGTCACAACTGTATCTACCTTACCTACCTAACTGTCTCCGGAAGTAAGTTACAACTGTATCTACCTTACCTACCTAACTGTCTCCCGAAGTAAGTCACAACTGTATCTACCTTACCTACCTAACTGTCTCCCGAAGTCACAACTGTATTCTCCTTTCCTGCCTAACTGTTTCCCGAAGTAAGTCACAACTGTATCTACCTTACCTACCTAACTGTCTCCCGAAGTAAGTCACAACTGTATTCTCCTTTCCTACCTAACTGTCTCCCGAAGTAAGTCACAACTGTATCCACCTTACCTACCTAACTGTTTCCCGAAGTAAGTCACAACTGTATCCACCTTACCTTCCTAACTGTCTCCCGAAGTAAGTCACAACTGTATCTACCTTACCTACCTAACTGTCTCCCGAAGTAAGTCACAACTGTATACTCCTTACCTACCTAACCGTTTCCCAAAGTAAGTCACAGCTGTATCCTCCTTACCTACCTAACTATCTCCCAAAGTTGGTATGTTGCACTCTTTGTCATTGCTCTGGCATGTTTGGTATGTTGCACTCTTTGTCATTGCTCTGGCGTGTTTGGTATGTTGGACTCTTTGTCATTACTCTGGCGGGTTTGGTATTTTGCACTCTTTGTCATTACTCTAGCTTGTTTGGTATGTTGCACTCTTTGTCACTGCTCTGGCGTGTTTGGTATGTTGCTCTCTTTGTCATTGCTCTAGCGTGTTTTGTATGTGTACTCTTTGTCATTACTCTGGCGAGTTTGGTCTGTTGCACTCTTTGTCATTGCTCTAGCTTACCTACCTAACCGTTTCCCAAAGTAAGTCACAGCTGTATCCTCCTTACGTACCTAACTATCTCCCAAAGTTGGTATGTTGCTCTCTTTGTCATTGCTCTAGCGTGTTTTGTATGTTGCACTCTTTGTCATTACTCACTATCTCCCAAAGTTGGTATGTTGCTCTCTTTGTCATTGCTCCAGCGTGTTTGGTATGTTGCACTCTTGGTCATTGCTCTAGCGTGTTTGGTATCTTGCACTCTTTGTCATTTCTCTAGCGTGTTTGGTATGTTGCACTCTTCGTTATTGCTCTGGCGTGTTTGGTATGTTGGACTCTTTGTCATTACTCTGGCGGGTTTGGTATTTTGCACTCTTTGTCATTACTCTAGCGTGGTTGGTATGTTGCAGTCTTTGTCATTGCTCTGGCGGGTTTGGTATGTTGCACTCTTTGTCGTTACTCTGGCGTGTTTGGTATGTTGCACCTTTTGTCATTACTCTGGCGTGTTTGGCATGTTGCACTCTTTGTCATTACTCTGGCTTGTTTGGTATGTTGCACTCTTTGTCATTAATCTGGCGTGTTTGGTATGTTGCACTCTTGGTCATTGCTCTAGCGTGTTTGGTATCTTGCACTCTTTGTCATTTCTCTAGCGGGTTTGGTATGTTGCACTCTTTGTCGTTACTCTGGCGTGTTTGGTATGTTGTACTCTTTGTCATTACTCTGGCGAGTTTGGTCTGTTGCACTCTTTGTCATTGCTCTAGTGTGTTTGGTATGTTGCACTCTTTGTCATCCCAAAGTTGGTATGTTGCACTCCTTGTCATTGCTCTGGCGTGTTTGGTATGTTGTACTCTTTGTCATTGCTCTAGCGTGTTTTGTATGCGTACTCTTTGTCATTACTCTGGCGTGTTTTGTATGTTGCACTCTTTGTCATTACTCACTATCTCCCAAAGTTGGTATGTTGCACTCTTTGTCATTGCCCTGGCATGTTTGGTATGTTGCACTCTTTGTCTTTACTCTGTCGTGTTTGGTATGTTGCACGCTTTGTCATTGCTCTAGCGTGTTTGCTATGTTGCACTCTTTGTCATTGCTCCAGCGTGTTTGGTATGTTGCACTCTTGGTCATTGCTCTAGCGTGTTTGGTATCTTGCACTCTTTGTCATTACTCTAGCGTGGTTGGTATGTTGCAGTCTTTGTCATTGCTCTGGCGGGTTTGGTATGTTGCACTCTTTGTCGTTACTCTGGCGTGTTTGGTATGTTGCCCTCTTTCTTATTGCTCTGGCGTGTTTGGTATGTTGCCCTCTTTCTTATTGCTCTGGCGTGTTTGGTATGTTGGACTCTTTGTCATTACTCTGGCGGGTTTGGTATTTTGCACTCTTTGTCATTACTCTAGCTTGTTTGGTATGTTGCACTCTTTGTCTTTACTCTGTCGTGTTTGGTATGTTGCACTCTTTGTCAATGCTCTGGCGTGTTTTGTATGTTGCACTCTTTGTCATTGCTCCAGCGTGTTTGGTATGTTGCACTCTTCGTTATTGCTCTGGCGTGTTTGGTATGTTGCTCTCTTTGTCATTGCTCCAGCGTGTTTGGTATGTTGCACTCTTTGCCATTACTCTGGCCTGTTTGGTATGTTGCACTCTTTGTCTTTACTCTGTCGTGTTTGGTATGTTGCACGCTTTGTCATTGCTCTAGCGTGTTTGCTATGTTGCACTCTTTGTCATTGCTCCAGCGTGTTTGGTATGTTGCACTCTTTGCCATTACTCTGGCCTGTTTGGTATGTTGCACTCTTTGTCAATGCTCTGGCGTGTTTTGTATGTTGCACTCTTTGTCATTACTCACTATCTCCCAAAGTTGGTATGTTGCTCTCTTTGTCATTGCTCTGTCGTGTTTGGTATGTTTCACTCTGTGTCATTGCTCTAGCGTGTTTGGTATGCCGGACTCTTTGTCATTACTCTGGCGTGTTTGGCATGTTGCACTCTTTGTCATTACTCTAGCTTGTTTGGTATGTTGCACTCTTTGTCTTTACTCTGTCGTGTTTGGTATGTTGCACGCTTTGTCATTGCTCTAGCGTGTTTGATATGTTGCCCTCTTTGTCATTGCTCTGGCGTGTTTGGTATGTTGCTCTCTTTGTCATTGCTCCAGCGTGTTTGGTATGTTGCACTCTTGGTCATTGCTCTAGCGTGTTTGGTATCTTGCACTCTTTGTCATTTCTCTAGCGGGTTTGGTATGTTGCACTCTTTGTCATTACTCTGGCGTGTTTGGTATGGCAATGCCTTGAACAAATATTTGATTCTGGTTTCCATGTTGAAGGTCAAGGTCACTGTTACTATTTTTAGAAAATAACTTTGTCATCACTCTAGCAACCTCATTTCCTCATACATATGTCACACAATGTGTGAATGCGAGGGGATTTGTATGACTTTTGATGCCTTGTTTCTACATATTGTCCTAAGCTAGCTCACTGTGATCATCATATGGAAATGGCATATATCTATTGCACTGTCTTGGAAAGTATAATCTTGTTTCAGCATCCTTTAATCTTAAATTGCCATGTCAAATGCTAAATACTAATACTATTCTTTTCCTAGATGTGCCAGCTGTTACGATTTCACAACCTCAATACAGTACCGTTCTGGGCACCTCGGTGACCATTGACTGTACCGTGACCTCTACACCGCAAGCCAACACCGTCGCCTGGGAACGTGTCATCGGTGGACAGACAACCACCCTTACCATCGACGGCACAAAATTTGTTGGTTCTTCTGTCAACAACCCATCTCTCACTATCACTGATGCCTCGACTAACGACATGGGTTACTACGTGTGTACGGCCATCAACAATGTCGGTGTTGGTCGTAGTGCACAGGCTTACCTAACTGTGGATGGCTGTAAGTTGATATATATAGATATGTATGGTCTTATATTTGGCCACTCTGAAAATGATCATGACCTTTTCTCCGACCACGATGTAAATTATTCTTAAGTACCTCTTCTCAAGCCGTAATGTCCTGAGGCCGCTTGTATAAAACATCTCAAAGTTGAGGAAAATATCAAGCAATGTATTGTCTATGGGAAATCCTGGACTTGAGAAAATCTCAAAGAGTTGAGATTTTGTATACAAGTGGGGCCTGCCACATCAGTGGAGGGGACGTTTAGTTTAAGCCTTTTCCATTAGTCCGTACATCTAGATAGCTCCATTTCGATGACTTTGGCTAGACTTTCAATTTAATCAGCTCCATTCCTGTCAAAGCAGAAGCAGGGGCATATGTATATTTTACAAATATCTGATATCTGATATGTTTTATTTACTACCTAATATCAAGCCATACAGAAAAAGATTGTAACGACTTTGTGTTGGGAAACACTGAGAACTTATTTGTTACCATGCACCTTGTCATCATATGTCAAAATAAGAAGGTTGTGTAACTGCACGTAATTATCATATAACATCCCAGAATATATGATACGATAGCAAACAGGGTCCTCTATGGGATCTTAACAATATGATAAAATTAATAGTTTAAGTCATTAAAGGAGTATTTTCCCCCTTTATTTGAAACATTTATTATTAAAACACACTTTCAAAAATATTGTAGTTTATTGAAAGAAAATGCAAAAAATAGATGGAAATTAGTGTTCAAAGCACTGAGATTACCCCTACAATAGGTAATTTGACGTGCATGGTTGTACTGAAATACTGGATTGTTTCCTTTGGCAGTGGTAGCCGCGGTTGTGATCAGCCGGCCGTCCTACTCCTTTGTCCTGGGCGAGACTGCCGTTATTGACTGCGACTACAGCTCCTCACCCGACGCGACATCTGTCTACTGGCAGAAGATCGTGGACACACAGACAACCCGCATCAACACCTTTAACACCAACAAATACAGCGGTTCTACCTTGTCCAACCCTTCACTGACCATCACTAATACAGACAGTAGTGACCAGGCCTTCTATCGCTGTGTAGTGGTCAACAGTGTCGGGGAGGGCCGGAGCAACCAAGCCTACCTCTATATCACAGGAAGTAAGTCTCACAAATCTCAGGAGAAATTAAATGATCTTTATCACAGGAAGTAAGTCTCACAAATCTCAGGAGAAATTAAATGATCTTTATCACAGGAAGTAAGTCTCGCAAATCTCAGGAGAAATTGAGTAAATTTTATCTGAATTCTTATCCAGAGGTATTAATTTAAAGCTAACTATAACTTACATCAGTATTCCTGAACTGTAATTGTTTGAAGCACACATTTTATATGGCTAACTAGTTAAAAGATACAAGGATCATCTTAACAAATATTTAAAATATTAAAACGGAAATAAAATTTACTAACAGAAAAACAACTGAAACTTTTCACTTTTTGTGTCATCAAAAGAGTTATTGAAGCATCACACAAAGATCTGTGTTTTTTTCAGACATTCCTTCAGTCACTGTACCTCAGAGTTCATACAGTGTTTCCCTTGATGATACCGTCACCATCACCTGTACTGTATCGGCTGTCCCGTCAGCAACCACGGTTACCTGGGAGTACATCGATTCTAACGGTGTTAACAGCAATGTGAATGTGGGTAACTCCAGGTACAGCGGTGGTACCCTAGCCAACCCTTCCCTGGTCATCTCGACCGCCAGACTTAGTGACCAAGGCACTTACAGGTGTAAGGCTAGCAACAGTGTTGGTACAGGAGAGAGTCAACAGGTGTACCTTTACGTCACCGGCAGTAAGTATTAGTAGTGAAGTTTTATTGTTTGACAAACATCAGGATTAAACCCACTTGAGATAGAATGAGGGAAATTAGAAACCCCCAAAAATGGCATAATTGCATAATTGCTGTTATGAAAATAGTGATTGACATTTTTTTCGTTTTTCAACATGTGATAATTAAAACTTAAACGTTGAACACTTAAATATTTTGAGTGATACTTAGAAAATACCAATCACTGTGTATTTACTGTGTTTTTAAAGCAGATTATATTGTATCCTACATATGTACACTATTTTGTTTGTTACAGCCCTGACGTCCGTGCAGGTGACCGTGTCCGCCTACACGGTAGATGTGGACACACCACTGCCACACTTGCCTATATGTACACCATTTTTTTTCTTACAGCCCTGCCGTCCGTGAGAGTGACCGTGTCCGCCTACACGGTAGATGTGGACACCACTGCCACACTTGCCTATATGTACACCATTTTGTTTTTTACAGCCCTGCCGTCCGTGAGAGTGACCGTGTCTGCCTACACGGTAGATGTGGACACCACTGCCACACTTGCCTATATGTACACCATTTTTTTTATTACAGCCCTGCCGTCCGTGAGAGTGACCGTCTCCGCCTACACGGTAGATGTGGACACCACTGCCACACTTGCCTATATGTACACCATTTTGTTTTTTACAGCCCTGCCGTCCGTGAGAGTGACCGTCTCCGCCTACACGGTAGATGTGGACACCACTGCCACACTTGTCTATATGTACACCATTTTGTTTATTACAGCCCTGCCGTCTGTGCGAGTGACCGTGTCCGCCTACACGGTAGATGTGGACACCACTGCCACACTTGCCTGTATTGTGGATGCCTCCCCAGCAGCCACCTCTGTATACTGGACCAAAATTGTGGATGGCGTGTCGTCCACCATCAGTACAACCACCAACAAGTACAGTGGCTCGACTGTCGGCTCCCCGTCACTCATTGTCTACAGCCTTGTTCTGGGTGACGAGGGTAGCTACAGATGTAACGCTATCAACACTGTCGGCACTGGGCAGAGCGGTCTCACCTCCCTTATAGTGGCCTGTAAGTCACATGCTCATACCCACAATGCAAAACAGTAAAATTTAGAAAAGTAGATTATGGCAAAGTTAATACAAATATGTGATATCAAAGTTTTACTTTCTACACAATTAATGTATGTATTAAACGTGTCGCAACGTTTCAAGACCGACTGGTCCCTTTGTCAAGCTATGACTGAGTGAGCGATTTGTATTTTTTACCTGTACAACGATGTGACGAAATTGCATATTGTTCATGTCACTCGACCCGAAAAGTTATGTTTCGATAGGGAGCGTATACACACTGCATCAGATATACAAATATGGCTTTTCCTCCATCACTGTGGCCTCTAAGTCACATTTGGTATAAAATGCAAAGCAAGTAACCAAGGTTAATGGATCATCAGTTTACAAATCTGTGCATAAAATCTTGTTTAGTTCGTGGAAGGTGTGACTTATCCACACAAAAATCAGTAAAGCTTACTAGAAACATTTATACAAATAGTGATCTCGCTTCCCTAATCATGACATTTGGATTATGTGATCATACCCACAATACAAAGCAGTAGAAGTTTGATGTATATAATGTATCAGAATGCTAATGTCTATGGTGTCAGAGTAATTGTTTAACATTAACATTACGTAACCTAATACCACATATTTGTCTAATGTAAGGGATGGCACCCTATTTTGGTGATTTTCCAGCACATATCTTTTTAATCTGAATGACTTATGTTACATGGATAAATGGGTTTATTTTTTGCAAGATATAACTTTATAATGTTTTGTGTCACTAGATGCTCCCAGGAACACAGTTGTGAACCCCACATCTGTGACGACCCGAGAAGGCCAATCTGCAACCTCGGAGTGTATCACAGATGCTAATCCTGCTGCCACCTTCCAGTGGGTCAAGGACAACACCAACCAGGTCGTGGGTGTCGGTAAAATCCTTCTCATCACCAACGTAGACCGTGGCCATGACAGCAGCTATTCCTGTATCGCCACCAACAGCCAGGGCTCTCAGACCGCCAAGTTTGAGCTGGATGTTCAGTGTAAGTGTAACGTGATGAAATCGCGGATCGACTCGAACTGTCTACATCAAACCAATAACAAGGACCTCAGATATAATGTGTCCTGCAAATACGGAGAGAAAATATCACAATGTGCTTGTCTATAAAACTACTCCAGATCTAGAACAACCAAGAGATTAGACTTAATTTGGTATGAAATATCTCTGTACAAAAGGAATTCAATTTTCTATAAATGAGGATTGAAGCCAGTTTAAGGCCAGAGGGAATCGGCCAAATAAGAGTACTTTCTTCAAAAGACCACTTCTTTTGTACAGGGGATTACAATATTACCTGATTTGGTATTAAAAATCCCTTTGATCTGGGAATTCAGTGTTTTATAAATATGGAACTTGGCTAACACTGAGAAAAATGGGTTGTTCCCAATAGGGAAAATGGTGACTGTTCCTCTTGTAACCCTGACTGAATGTTGAATGTAACTGGCTCAGTAAACAGTACAAGATGGCCAGCATGGGTTATGATACAGGCCCCAGGGGCATATAAGTGTTGATTTTCAGAATGACTCCCTGTACTGTTAGGTACGTTCCTACTCCTATAGTTGGAGAACCAGTATTCAAAATACTGTATAGTATGTTAAATCCTAATGGAACTTATGTTTGTGTGTTTTACAGTCAATGGTTCTGTATGTTTGAATGTTGTGTTTTACAGTCAATGGTTCTGTATGTTTGTGTGTTTTACAGTCAATGGTTCTGTATGTTTGTGTGTTTTACAGTCAATGGTTCTGTATGTTTGAATGTTGTGTTTTACAGTCAATGGTTCTGTATGTTTGAATGTTGTGTTTTACAGTCAATGGTTCTGTATGTTTGAATGTTGTGTTTTACAGTCAATGGTTCTGTATGTTTGAATGTTGTGTTTTACAGTCAATGGTTCTGTATGTTTGAATGTTGTGTTTTACAGTCAATGGTTCTGTATGTTTGAATGTTGTGTTTTACAGTCAATGGTTCTGTATGTTTGAATGTTGTGTTTTACAGTCAATGGTTCTGTATGTTTGAATGTTGTGTTTTACAGTCAATGGTTCTGTATGTTTGAATGTTGTGTTTTACAGTCAATGGTTCTGTATGTTTGAATGTTGTGTTTTACAGTCAATGGTTCTGTATGTTTGAATGTTGTGTTTTACAGTCAATGGTTCTGTATGTTTGAATGTTGTGTTTTACAGTCAATGGTTCTGTATGTTTGAATGTTGTGTTTTACAGTCAATGGTTCTGTATGTTTGAATGTTGTGTTTTACAGTCAATGGTTCTGTATGTTTGAATGTTGTGTTTTACAGTCAATGGTTCTGTATGTTTGAATGTTGTGTTTTACAGTCAATGGTTCTGTATGTTTGAATGTTGTGTTTTACAGTCAATGGTTCTGTATGTTTGAATGTTGTGTTTTACAGTCAATGGTTCTGTATGTTTGAATGTTGTGTTTTACAGTCAATGGTTCTGTATGTTTGAATGTTGTGTTTTACAGTCAATGGTTCTGTATGTTTGAATGTTGTGTTTTACAGTCAATGGTTCTGTATGTTTGAATGTTGTGTTTTACAGTCAATGGTTCTGTATGTTTGAATGTTGTGTTTTACAGTCAATGGTTCTGTATGTTTGAATGTTGTGTTTTACAGTCAATGGTTCTGTATGTTTGAATGTTGTGTTTTACAGTCAATGGTTCTGTATGTTTGAATGTTGTGTTTTACAGTCAATGGTTCTGTATGTTTGAATGTTGTGTTTTACAGTCAATGGTTCTGTATGTTTGAATGTTGTGTTTTACAGTCAATGGTTCTGTATGTTTGAATGTTGTGTTTTACAGTCAATGGTTCTGTATGTTTGAATGTTGTGTTTTACAGTCAATGGTTCTGTATGTTTGAATGTTGTGTTTTACAGTCAATGGTTCTGTATGTTTGAATGTTGTGTTTTACAGTCAATGGTTCTGTATGTTTGAATGTTGTGTTTTACAGTCAATGGTTCTGTATGTTTGAATGTTGTGTTTTACAGTCAATGGTTCTGTATGTTTGAATGTTGTGTTTTACAGTCAATGGTTCTGTATGTTTGAATGTTGTGTTTTACAGTCAATGGTTCTGTATGTTTGAATGTTGTGTTTTACAGTCAATGGTTCTGTATGTTTGAATGTTGTGTTTTACAGTCAATGGTTCTGTATGTTTGAATGTTGTGTTTTACAGTCAATGGTTCTGTATGTTTGAATGTTGTGTTTTACAGTCAATGGTTCTGTATGTTTGAATGTTGTGTTTTACAGTCAATGGTTCTGTATGTTTGAATGTTGTGTTTTACAGTCAATGGTTCTGTATGTTTGAATGTTGTGTTTTACAGTCAATGGTTCTGTATGTTTGAATGTTGTGTTTTACAGTCAATGGTTCTGTATGTTTGAATGTTGTGTTTTACAGTCAATGGTTCTGTATGTTTGAATGTTGTGTTTTACAGTCAATGGTTCTGTATGTTTGAATGTTGTGTTTTACAGTCAATGGTTCTGTATGTTTGAATGTTGTGTTTTACAGTCAATGGTTCTGTATGTTTGAATGTTGTGTTTTACAGTCAATGGTTCTGTATGTTTGAATGTTGTGTTTTACAGTCAATGGTTCTGTATGTTTGAATGTTGTGTTTTACAGTCAATGGTTCTGTATGTTTGAATGTTGTGTTTTACAGTCAATGGTTCTGTATGTTTGAATGTTGTGTTTTACAGTCAATGGTTCTGTATGTTTGAATGTTGTGTTTTACAGTCAATGGTTCTGTATGTTTGAATGTTGTGTTTTACAGTCAATGGTTCTGTATGTTTGAATGTTGTGTTTTACAGTCAATGGTTCTGTATGTTTGAATGTTGTGTTTTACAGTCAATGGTTCTGTATGTTTGAATGTTGTGTTTTACAGTCAATGGTTCTGTATGTTTGAATGTTGTGTTTTACAGTCAATGGTTCTGTATGTTTGAATGTTGTGTTTTACAGTCAATGGTTCTGTATGTTTGAATGTTGTGTTTTACAGTCAATGGTTCTGTATGTTTGAATGTTGTGTTTTACAGTCAATGGTTCTGTATGTTTGAATGTTGTGTTTTACAGTCAATGGTTCTGTATGTTTGAATGTTGTGTTTTACAGTCAATGGTTCTGTATGTTTGAATGTTGTGTTTTACAGTCAATGGTTCTGTATGTTTGAATGTTGTGTTTTACAGTCAATGGTTCTGTATGTTTGAATGTTGTGTTTTACAGTCAATGGTTCTGTATGTTTGAATGTTGTGTTTTACAGTCAATGGTTCTGTATGTTTGAATGTTGTGTTTTACAGTCAATGGTTCTGTATGTTTGAATGTTGTGTTTTACAGTCAATGGTTCTGTATGTTTGAATGTTGTGTTTTACAGTCAATGGTTCTGTATGTTTGAATGTTGTGTTTTACAGTCAATGGTTCTGTATGTTTGAATGTTGTGTTTTACAGTCAATGGTTCTGTATGTTTGAATGTTGTGTTTTACAGTCAATGGTTCTGTATGTTTGAATGTTGTGTTTTACAGTCAATGGTTCTGTATGTTTGAATGTTGTGTTTTACAGTCAATGGTTCTGTATGTTTGAATGTTGTGTTTTACAGTCAATGGTTCTGTATGTTTGAATGTTGTGTTTTACAGTCAATGGTTCTGTATGTTTGAATGTTGTGTTTTACAGTCAATGGTTCTGTATGTTTGAATGTTGTGTTTTACAGTCAATGGTTCTGTATGTTTGAATGTTGTGTTTTACAGTCAATGGTTCTGTATGTTTGAATGTTGTGTTTTACAGTCAATGGTTCTGTATGTTTGAATGTTGTGTTTTACAGTCAATGGTTCTGTATGTTTGAATGTTGTGTTTTACAGTCAATGGTTCTGTATGTTTGAATGTTGTGTTTTACAGTCAATGGTTCTGTATGTTTGAATGTTGTGTTTTACAGTCAATGGTTCTGTATGTTTGAATGTTGTGTTTTACAGTCAATGGTTCTGTATGTTTGAATGTTGTGTTTTACAGTCAATGGTTCTGTATGTTTGAATGTTGTGTTTTACAGTCAATGGTTCTGTATGTTTGAATGTTGTGTTTTACAGTCAATGGTTCTGTATGTTTGAATGTTGTGTTTTACAGTCAATGGTTCTGTATGTTTGAATGTTGTGTTTTACAGTCAATGGTTCTGTATGTTTGAATGTTGTGTTTTACAGTCAATGGTTCTGTATGTTTGAATGTTGTGTTTTACAGTCAATGGTTCTGTATGTTTGAATGTTGTGTTTTACAGTCAATGGTTCTGTATGTTTGAATGTTGTGTTTTACAGTCAATGGTTCTGTATGTTTGAATGTTGTGTTTTACAGTCAATGGTTCTGTATGTTTGAATGTTGTGTTTTACAGTCAATGGTTCTGTATGTTTGAATGTTGTGTTTTACAGTCAATGGTTCTGTATGTTTGAATGTTGTGTTTTACAGTCAATGGTTCTGTATGTTTGAATGTTGTGTTTTACAGTCAATGGTTCTGTATGTTTGAATGTTGTGTTTTACAGTCAATGGTTCTGTATGTTTGAATGTTGTGTTTTACAGTCAATGGTTCTGTATGTTTGAATGTTGTGTTTTACAGTCAATGGTTCTGTATGTTTGAATGTTGTGTTTTACAGTCAATGGTTCTGTATGTTTGAATGTTGTGTTTTACAGTCAATGGTTCTGTATGTTTGAATGTTGTGTTTTACAGTCAATGGTTCTGTATGTTTGAATGTTGTGTTTTACAGTCAATGGTTCTGTATGTTTGAATGTTGTGTTTTACAGTCAATGGTTCTGTATGTTTGAATGTTGTGTTTTACAGTCAATGGTTCTGTATGTTTGAATGTTGTGTTTTACAGTCAATGGTTCTGTATGTTTGAATGTTGTGTTTTACAGTCAATGGTTCTGTATGTTTGAATGTTGTGTTTTACAGTCAATGGTTCTGTATGTTTGAATGTTGTGTTTTACAGTCAATGGTTCTGTATGTTTGAATGTTGTGTTTTACAGTCAATGGTTCTGTATGTTTGAATGTTGTGTTTTACAGTCAATGGTTCTGTATGTTTGAATGTTGTGTTTTACAGTCAATGGTTCTGTATGTTTGAATGTTGTGTTTTACAGTCAATGGTTCTGTATGTTTGAATGTTGTGTTTTACAGTCAATGGTTCTGTATGTTTGAATGTTGTGTTTTACAGTCAATGGTTCTGTATGTTTGAATGTTGTGTTTTACAGTCAATGGTTCTGTATGTTTGAATGTTGTGTTTTACAGTCAATGGTTCTGTATGTTTGAATGTTGTGTTTTACAGTCAATGGTTCTGTATGTTTGAATGTTGTGTTTTACAGTCAATGGTTCTGTATGTTTGAATGTTGTGTTTTACAGTCAATGGTTCTGTATGTTTGAATGTTGTGTTTTACAGTCAATGGTTCTGTATGTTTGAATGTTGTGTTTTACAGTCAATGGTTCTGTATGTTTGAATGTTGTGTTTTACAGTCAATGGTTCTGTATGTTTGAATGTTGTGTTTTACAGTCAATGGTTCTGTATGTTTGAATGTTGTGTTTTACAGTCAATGGTTCTGTATGTTTGAATGTTGTGTTTTACAGTCAATGGTTCTGTATGTTTGAATGTTGTGTTTTACAGTCAATGGTTCTGTATGTTTGAATGTTGTGTTTTACAGTCAATGGTTCTGTATGTTTGAATGTTGTGTTTTACAGTCAATGGTTCTGTATGTTTGAATGTTGTGTTTTACAGTCAATGGTTCTGTATGTTTGAATGTTGTGTTTTACAGTCAATGGTTCTGTATGTTTGAATGTTGTGTTTTACAGTCAATGGTTCTGTATGTTTGAATGTTGTGTTTTACAGTCAATGGTTCTGTATGTTTGAATGTTGTGTTTTACAGTCAATGGTTCTGTATGTTTGAATGTTGTGTTTTACAGTCAATGGTTCTGTATGTTTGAATGTTGTGTTTTACAGTCAATGGTTCTGTATGTTTGAATGTTGTGTTTTACAGTCAATGGTTCTGTATGTTTGAATGTTGTGTTTTACAGTCAATGGTTCTGTATGTTTGAATGTTGTGTTTTACAGTCAATGGTTCTGTATGTTTGAATGTTGTGTTTTACAGTCAATGGTTCTGTATGTTTGAATGTTGTGTTTTACAGTCAATGGTTCTGTATGTTTGAATGTTGTGTTTTACAGTCAATGGTTCTGTATGTTTGAATGTTGTGTTTTACAGTCAATGGTTCTGTATGTTTGAATGTTGTGTTTTACAGTCAATGGTTCTGTATGTTTGAATGTTGTGTTTTACAGTCAATGGTTCTGTATGTTTGAATGTTGTGTTTTACAGTCAATGGTTCTGTATGTTTGAATGTTGTGTTTTACAGTCAATGGTTCTGTATGTTTGAATGTTGTGTTTTACAGTCAATGGTTCTGTATGTTTGAATGTTGTGTTTTACAGTCAATGGTTCTGTATGTTTGAATGTTGTGTTTTACAGTCAATGGTTCTGTATGTTTGAATGTTGTGTTTTACAGTCAATGGTTCTGTATGTTTGAATGTTGTGTTTTACAGTCAATGGTTCTGTATGTTTGAATGTTGTGTTTTACAGTCAATGGTTCTGTATGTTTGAATGTTGTGTTTTACAGTCAATGGTTCTGTATGTTTGAATGTTGTGTTTTACAGTCAATGGTTCTGTATGTTTGAATGTTGTGTTTTACAGTCAATGGTTCTGTATGTTTGAATGTTGTGTTTTACAGTCAATGGTTCTGTATGTTTGAATGTTGTGTTTTACAGTCAATGGTTCTGTATGTTTGAATGTTGTGTTTTACAGTCAATGGTTCTGTATGTTTGAATGTTGTGTTTTACAGTCAATGGTTCTGTATGTTTGAATGTTGTGTTTTACAGTCAATGGTTCTGTATGTTTGAATGTTGTGTTTTACAGTCAATGGTTCTGTATGTTTGAATGTTGTGTTTTACAGTCAATGGTTCTGTATGTTTGAATGTTGTGTTTTACAGTCAATGGTTCTGTATGTTTGAATGTTGTGTTTTACAGTCAATGGTTCTGTATGTTTGAATGTTGTGTTTTACAGTCAATGGTTCTGTATGTTTGAATGTTGTGTTTTACAGTCAATGGTTCTGTATGTTTGAATGTTGTGTTTTACAGTCAATGGTTCTGTATGTTTGAATGTTGTGTTTTACAGTCAATGGTTCTGTATGTTTGAATGTTGTGTTTTACAGTCAATGGTTCTGTATGTTTGAATGTTGTGTTTTACAGTCAATGGTTCTGTATGTTTGAATGTTGTGTTTTACAGTCAATGGTTCTGTATGTTTGAATGTTGTGTTTTACAGTCAATGGTTCTGTATGTTTGAATGTTGTGTTTTACAGTCAATGGTTCTGTATGTTTGAATGTTGTGTTTTACAGTCAATGGTTCTGTATGTTTGAATGTTGTGTTTTACAGTCAATGGTTCTGTATGTTTGAATGTTGTGTTTTACAGTCAATGGTTCTGTATGTTTGAATGTTGTGTTTTACAGTCAATGGTTCTGTATGTTTGAATGTTGTGTTTTACAGTCAATGGTTCTGTATGTTTGAATGTTGTGTTTTACAGTCAATGGTTCTGTATGTTTGAATGTTGTGTTTTACAGTCAATGGTTCTGTATGTTTGAATGTTGTGTTTTACAGTCAATGGTTCTGTATGTTTGAATGTTGTGTTTTACAGTCAATGGTTCTGTATGTTTGAATGTTGTGTTTTACAGTCAATGGTTCTGTATGTTTGAATGTTGTGTTTTACAGTCAATGGTTCTGTATGTTTGAATGTTGTGTTTTACAGTCAATGGTTCTGTATGTTTGAATGTTGTGTTTTACAGTCAATGGTTCTGTATGTTTGAATGTTGTGTTTTACAGTCAATGGTTCTGTATGTTTGAATGTTGTGTTTTACAGTCAATGGTTCTGTATGTTTGAATGTTGTGTTTTACAGTCAATGGTTCTGTATGTTTGAATGTTGTGTTTTACAGTCAATGGTTCTGTATGTTTGAATGTTGTGTTTTACAGTCAATGGTTCTGTATGTTTGAATGTTGTGTTTTACAGTCAATGGTTCTGTATGTTTGAATGTTGTGTTTTACAGTCAATGGTTCTGTATGTTTGAATGTTGTGTGTTTTACAGTCAATGGTTCTGTTTGTTTGAATGTTGTGTGATTTACAGAAAATGGTTCATCCTAATCAGCTGTATGTTTGTTCATCCTAATCAGCTGTATGTTTGTTCATCCTAATCAGCTGTATGTTTGTTCATCCTAATCAGCTGTATGTTTGAATGTCATGTTTTTTACAGTCAGTGGTTCATCCTAATCAGCTGTATGTTTGAATGTCATGTTTTTCACATTCAGTGGTTCATCCTAATCAGCTGTATGTTTGAATGTTATGTGTTTTATAGACAAACCTATCAGCACTGTCACCGTTGCCCAAGCAGCTGTCCTGTTGAGTCTGAACGCACAGAGAGACATCGAGTGTAACACTGTGGCCAATCCTGCTGTACAGACCTACAGATGGCAAAAAGATGGAAACAGCATTGCAAATGCGAACAGTCTCATCTACCGAGTCGTTGCCACCGATTCCAATAGCTATGGCGTGTATACTTGCTATGCCACCAACACTATTGGCGAGTCGTCAGCCATCGCCTACACTGTGTCCTCAGGTACATGTTCTTGTTGAGCCTTTCATGTAATATTCATGGTTAACTTATATTACAATTTATAATTGAAACTTCAAATACGAAAAACTTATCATAGGAAATTTTATGTCATGTTAGATGCCTTTTCCTTTTATTTATTTATGCCATCTTAACATCTTCTGTATGATTGAAAATTGTCTTTTGAACGGAGAAGGGTTACTTACAACTCTATTGATCTATAATTATGAAAACTGTTTATTTTTTTCTATATCGTATTTGATATTTACGGTATGTTAAACTTTAGGTGAAGTGTCCCCGACTGTTACACCAACAGTAGATGGTATCAGTGCTGGCCTTGTCGTCGCAATCGTCATCTCAGCTCTCGTCCTGATTCTCATCATTATCATCATCGTCTGCTGCTGCGTGTCAAGAGGTAGGCAACCTGTCAATCTTCCCTTAGTAATAGATAGTTAAACAAAATAACAATTGCACAAATAGCCAAAGTATTTCGAAATTCCTTTTGCACTTAAGGATCTCTGTACCACTGCCAAAAACTGAAACTTAGCATGAAAGTTTTTTTCCTTTTCCGCCTGGCATTAATTTAGCTCGTCTGAGTTTTCATACACTTCCAGCAAAAAAACTAAATTAAGGGGAGGTTACTGTTCGTAAACCTAAAGTGGAATTCTCTAACGTTTTGCCTGCAGTGGGACAGGAATCCTTAATAATTTCTGTACACAACCGTTAATTATTTTCGAAAAACCTGCATGAAAAACACAATGTTTTATTGACAGTTTTCTGTCGGTTGTGGATCTTTAGAAATAATTTGTTGGTTCACATGAAAATACATGCTTGAATTGTATTTTTACAGGTGTGTGTAGAGAGGAAGCTGTAGAGAGACAGAGAGTGATTGTTGAGAAACCTAGACCAATGCAGTACATGTAAGTATTCCTCCACACTTTTCCTGAAATTGTTTTGATTCATAAGGCCAGTTCCAGTTCTTCTTGTTTTTCACTCATTTTTATCCAAATTGACCTCATTTCACAAAATTGTTCAGGCTAATGCTAACAAGTAAGAGTGAAGTATTTTAATATGCAATGTAAGTTTTATGAACTTATGATTTTTCACAATTTCTTTCTCTCACAAATATAGCAAATTGAGTTAGATGACTCATGAAAAACGCCCTGTTAAACAGTTATCTAATCTGAGAGGTTGTACAATATTTGCTGTGTCTTTGGTCCTATCAGCAGATAAACCTGGTCACATCTGTTTATTTCATTCTTTATGCTTCACTTTTTTTCAGAAATCCTGCACCAATGATTCTCCCCAGACAGGAGATGATGTAAGTCATTCTTGAGCTTTTACACAAAGAAATATAAAAAATAGAACAATTAACCACAAAATGTGAGGTATATAGAAAAATACTGCAGATTGTGTCAGACATCCACGACAGATGGTAGCTGATTTCTCTATTTTATCAGACTATGATGATCAACATATAATAATAAATTGTGCTTCCTTTTAACAATTATATTGTACTTAATTGCATTTGAATTAAAAATTGTCAAATTAAGGTGGAACATAATTGTATTGTTTTCACTACCATTTGAAATCATAACTGCCAAATTCAGATAATGAAAGATAATTTGAAGATTTGTGTCTACCAAAACAGGATTATTTCATTGCTGTTTGATTTGTAGCACTATGGATGACGGATTCTACAGGACGCCCACACCCCAGTACCAGTACACACCACAGCTGGCGTACTACGAGACCGAGGGATCCAGGAAAAGCATGCAGTGAACTAAGGGGTTCAGTTTGGAAATCTCCACAGCAGTGTGAGAGGGGGACCATCAGATGTCATCAATAATTACATTCCCCATTTTCTGGGTCTATAACAAAGTTATTGAAAGGAATTGTTTAATTCAGAATTCCACACAATCAGGAAGGACTGTGAACCAGTTTGTTTGATAAATAGGATTAATGTGTTTGAATGTAGATTATCAACCAATGATGAAATCCATGTGTAATAATAGTTAATTGATTTTCATCTGTTCTGACTGTTGATTACTGTTATGAGGACTCCACAGTTTCGATCTATGAAGCCAAATAGGACATGTCGGAGACCACATCATTTGGCCAGTTTGCTAGGGGTTCAAGATTGTAGAAAGTCTCTCAAAGTCATTGTCACAGGAAAATTGTTTGGCCACTTTAGAAAAAACTTCGGAGTGGTAAGAGTATATATTTGTTTTAGAAGGAACTTATAGTTATAAAGATATAGCTTGTCTTGTGTAGAGCCTAGATTACCATTTATTTTGATTTTTAACTTAAAAGTATGCTGTACAGGAAATACTTTAACAAATGTATGATTTCTTGTAAAAAGAAACACCAGCACAAAAAAAGTACTGTTATTAAATATACATATCAATGTTACTTTTTAACTAACTATCATTCTCCTGCCAAGAACACTACTTCTGTTTTTCCCCCAATTTCATTCCAAAAGATGCTGACATTCCAACAGAGTACCACGTAATAGCAATCAGATAAGGAAAGGTTTTTACATGTTACAAGTATTGTGTATGAAAAGGCAGCTTTCATTATCATGTGTTTGTCAAATGTCATGATGTACATAATACATTATGGGGACACAACCCTTTCTACATTCCATTGGAGGCAAGACATATTTTTATAGTTTATTATTTACAAGTTTGCTTGAAATATTTGAATTTAAGATTTCCATTTGAAGTGGTGGTATTGTTAGTGAGTTCCTACTTCAATAATACTGCTACAATAGCTGACATTGTCTCCATTTTATTTCTTCATGGGAATAAATGTTTGTGTTCTTGTGTTCAAAGAAAGGTTTGTTGATGAAATGTAAGAGAAAATCTGTTTTCATTGTTAAATGAGGTTTTTTAACGAAAGCTCAGAGAAATAGTTAAGTAGGCGAAGTGGGTAATATTAGTGGTGTATGGAGGAAGAGAAAATTCATAAAATAATGCTTTGTGTACATATATACATATACTTTCATATATATTTACATATTATATATATATATATAAATACTATAATTTTCTAATATTTCAATCTTTTATTTTTACTTGCATATTTAGTGTAAGATTTAGTGATGGTTTCCATGGTATAACAGTTTATAGACGTCTGTTTCGTAAGCTGATATATATATATATATATATATAATTTAGTAGACGCTCCAGAAAACAGATGACACCTGGATCTTCCCAGTTACATAAGTTATCAGGGTACCTACGTATTCTGTAGTAGAGAACATTTTATGTTAAATACCTACGGATGTTCTTTAACAGATTAGATATTTCGCTGTGATATTTAGATTCCATTCATCATCTATATTGGCAATGAAAAAGATATACCTGACTTTGTGAAAATGCTCCAAATGATGTTATTGACTATCAAAACTACATGTATTTCTATGTAAATGAAAGGTGATCACAATCAAGTATATCATAGATAGACGAAATAAATTTCTATATACTACGGAACCTTATGCTTGAGTTATTTGTTAACTTCTTACTGCAGTGTCTCTTACAGCTCCATCAACTTAGGTGACAGGACTCTAGTACCTCAGTATTAAGGATCCTTGTACCATAGAATCAGTTGATTCTGCAAAGAAACCAATACCTTGTGGAAACTTTATGAAAAACAAGGAAAATTAAATACTCTAAACCCGATAAATCAGCCATTGGCATGCACCTGGGCCAATATTCATGAAACTGTTCTCATGCTCAAGTATGGACTCTTTGCTCAAACCAACTTTCTCGTAATTTGCCTCAATTATGTGATAAGGTCGAAAAGTCAAGTCTAGACATTGAAAACAGTATTGCATCACTCCAATTTTTTTCTAAATCATGGACAAAATGTGATTTTGATTACTTTATATCCTGACCAAGAAATTTGGGTTGAGCACCGAATCCGACTTTGAGCATGAAAATGGTTAGCTGTAAATATTGTACATTTTATCATACATTGTATCTTGACCATATGTAAGATGAGCTTCGTGCTCAATATGTTATCAAGAATAAATAAAGCCTTTATTATTATTATTATTACAAGCTAACCGGTAATTTTAAATGCCGCCGTGACTATTCTCCATTATTATGTTTATTGAAGATTTAAAAGAAACTGGTTAGGTATACATGTAGCAAACACTAGTGAAAGCAAGTGTGTGTTTTTTTTTATAAAAGCACTGGATAAAGTCTTGAGTGTAATCAGCCGAACAGAACTCAAAATATAAGTAGTGCATTTTATAAACTGATTTTCTATTCATATAGTAACAGTGATAGAGACCTAACCCCCGGGCCTGGAAAGTTACCCCAAGCAGGCACTTTCTTTGAGGAAGCATTGTATAAAGTCAAGAATGTTATCAGCAGAAATCAAGATATTGTGCATTAGTGCATTAAACAGATTTTCTATTTATAGTGACCCATTGACCTTTGACCACTGGACCTGAAAAGTTATCCCAAGCAGGCACTTTCTTCCAGGTAAAATAAAACTCGATAAAATCTGAGTGTAATCAGTCCAACAGAATTTGAAATACAGTGCACAAACTGATGTTCTATTTATAGTAAGTGACCTTGACCTTTGATATCAAAGGTTGAAAAGCTATCCAAAAGCTTAAGCAAACATTTTATTACACTGGACAAAGTCCATGTATGCACACACACAAGGTTCTACACTTAAAGTTGATAAGTTGACTTTACTATTCATATGTTTTTAGCTAAGGCGTTAGCCGCCAGCTATTGGTATTACTTTAGTTAATGAGCTCAGATATTCATAAATGTCGATTTCACACAGACGGCCTCTAGCGGTAATCACTGGTACTAAATTGAATCATATACCGGACCTACTGTCTTTATTATGCGTAACTTTGGACTCAAATGCACTTGAATGGCTTGTAAATATCATTCCTTTTCTTTATAGAACATATGATCTTATCACAACGTCGTATTCTTATTGAAAATGCACCCTGTTTATCTCAATCGGGAACTGCTACTTGAATGTAGGTCATGCATGCTACACGCAACTTCCGGTAAAAATACTTCAGTTAATGAGCTCAGATATTCATAAACGAGACATAACGTCACCTTCTAGTAATACTAAACAAACTGCAAATAAAATCCATTACCACGGACTCAAGTTCACTCAAACGTCATTGGATATAATCTTATTCTTAGTTAGAACTAAGTATCCTTCTAAAACTTCGTATTTACTCTTGGAACTGTCGCTGGATTAACCCTTTACACGGAAATATTGTCCTGTGATTGGCTAAAATTGGTGACATTTACGTCCCTGTTTACAATTATATATTGCGTGGTCAGAGCTATGAAGCGGTCCTGTTCCAACTAACTGAGGATAATCAAAAGTGCTAATCAGTAATAATATATCTGATTCACGCTTCATATGATTATAATGTTATCAAAATATTGCATATTCGTTCATCGTTAAAATAACAAATCCTTACTAAAAACTCTAAAAAAAGAAACGACGGCCATGTTAGATCACGCGTGATGTTATCCGTTTCCTTATATGGCCTTCACGGCCAAATATAGTATTACTACTGATGCGGTCATGTTTACTACAATTTCCATATTTGGTCATGACACCCATATTTAGACGTCTGACCTATATCGGAAAGATTGAGGAAGTTTCCAACATGGCAGTCAATTAGGATTTCGCTTGCACTTGTTACGTAAACTTGATAATTTAACGAAATATAAGGCGGAGTATAACTTACAATTATGTAGGAGATCAACATAAAAAGTTCATATTACAAACCTATTAATGGATACGGATCCTGTCAATTAATTCTAAAATCGCCTCCGTGTGATTCACACCAGGCTTGCCTAACTAAAATGGGATCAACCGGCCGGGGCAGATGAGACCGGGAATCATGTTAGAACTAGCCACTGTCCTTCTCTAGTTCCATATTGGTATTCTAACCTGAAGGCTTTTTTTACCTTCGCAGTATTATCATTTTGTTCTATTTTCATCATAAGATATGCTATTGCATTTTTATATCGCCTTCTCGCTAATTACAGCTCAGCCAGAAACGAAAATATGCTCCGATAGGCCTACATTTTATATGTCTGTTGGTGTGATTTGTGTTTTTCGTTTATTGAAGTATTACCATATAACAGGACTCTTTTATTTCAATATACACAAAAACAACAACACCTTCGGAATGATTTCAGACATATACTGCGGGAAAACACGAGTGATCTCCCTTACATTTAGACATGCGCACATTTTACTTTCGTTTTGTGTAGGCCTAGACATCATTCGCAACGCGAAGCGGAAAAGACGAAAATGCAGGCGAGTGTTGACTTAATGTTAGGCATGTTGTTTAAGCAGCATTGACAATGAACAATATACATACACTTCTGCAACGTTTACCTACTACTGATTCATAAATAAGGCTATGTATCCCGATTTCGGTGACTTGTGGCCAAGCATGCGGCCGAAGCCGCAGAGAATGGCGCATGTTGTCAGCGGCGATGACAAAAAGGAAGGTGCTTCTACGGTATGTATAGCAGTTATTATGCAAAAACAAACATAATAAACGGACGTTTTACTCTAGTGAATTACAGCGTCACGAGGAACGTCTTTCTCCAGACGTGTTGCAAAATTTTCGAACTGCTTAGTTGCAAACTGATTTCACTTAAGCGTTGTTTGTGAGGATATTTGGCCTTACATTTCTTCTCATTCAGTTAAAAAAAAACATGTTATAAACATTGTATTATTAGATTCATTGTGATGTTGGCTTTCATTGAAGTTTCAATTGTTATACTACTTGATGTTTTGGAAACTTAAACAAGTATAGTAGTTCTAAATATTATGAAATGACAGAAACATTAGGCCAAACAAATTACTTGTGTTTCTACTATCAGAAAAAAATAGGGTAGGTATGTATTAGCTAGGCATTTTATTGTTAATTTGAAAAATATCTTTACTGCGCTAATATAGAGCAGGAGTTCTGACTTTAACAGTGCATATAAAAACTTAAGGGTATTGTAGAACACAAATCTGAGATAAGTCTGGTTAACCACACTGGTGTCGAACACACCAATAAGTATAGTGTGTATAATATATCATAGTTTATACACATCATATTACTATTAGTGTGTCCAGTATCTGTGGGGTTAGCATAAACTCAATATTTGTTTTAAACTTTTAATTGGCCTTATATAATGATCATTTATAGGTCAGACAGGGTTTGGTTTCCAATTCGGAAACTAGACCTGTTAAAACAGTTATCATTTGTAATTTAGAGATTAAATATTTCTAAGCAGAAAAAAATGAACTATAAATATTTTTCAACCTTTTCTGAGTTGTACAATTTTAGAGTATCTTCTGTCTGAAATCTGAACATAACTTGTTTTATGATAAATGTGTAAAACAATTCCTCATACTGGGGTAAAGTTTTTCTATATATAGTCCCAAAAACTACAGATAAAATCCTTGAGCACGTACAAGATACAAAAATATATATTTTACGTCCATTTTGCAAAACATACAACATAAGCTACAAAGACAAAACATGAGTATAATAACAGAGACCAAAATATTACAACATGGAAAAATAAAATAAAAACATGTATGTACATGTAGTATACTGTAAGCTCAGAAAAAGAGTTTATCACTTGGAAAGCACTTAATAGGCACATTGAACACGGTAAGCACATCAGCACATGGTAATTTAAGCACATTTAGAACATTTGCATACAGCACATAAAAAACAAAACCATAACATGGAAAGCTTATTAGCACATAGTAGGCACATTTGCACATTGTAAGCAAAATAAAGGAGTGCAATGGACATCTCCATGTTTCCTGGTTAATTTCTTCTTTATGGAAACAACCAGGGGAGAGTGATGTTCTGCTTCATCTTTTGTATTAATGAAAACCGTGAATATCTAAGTGCGTGTGTTTAAACTAATTTTGTTTTGTTTTTACTGGTACCTTTTTATGTACACATGTTTTACCACCTAAGGAATTAGATGTCTTAAGCCCCCATATGATGTGCTGTTATAAGTTGAATTTAATGTACATTTTGTTTATATTTAGTTCTGCTACCAAAGAGATTGACTTATTGAAATGTTTTTGAAACATTTTAATGAACTCCTCAGCTTTAATGCCTTATTTCTCACTATACAAGCTCATATTGCTATGCCTCCTATTTGTTTGAATATCATCTCTAAACATTATTGCTGGTGCAGAAATTATATGGTAACTATGTTCTATTTTAGGGGGGGAAAGCAATCAATATTACAACAGACAGGGATGGTTATTGATGGGAGAAAGGAGGATGAGAAATAGGAACTGTACCAACTCTCTCATACCTTTGAGGACTTCATGAACTTTTTCAAAAGGCTGCAAGAACTATACCAACAGTGACATGACATTTTGAAATCTGTCAGTTACTTTATAGAGGAGGAACCTCTGACTAAATCATTTTCTCTCAGACACATGAAAGCCGAGTCCA